TAGCTGTGAAGTAACTGTAGACCATTGTATAGATACCCAGATATATTTGTCCAGAAAGTTTTAAAAGTGGCTTTGGAAATCAAAAGACATGTCATTTTTCAAGAAACCTTTGCAGCATGTAGCTTTCTTAAAGTGTAATGTACTTACTGTCTTGGGTAAGGGGAGGGTAAAAGCACTCTAGCTGATTTCAAGGTAACAATTTAAATTCTCTCTCATTTTGCTTGGAGGCTAAGGCACTAATTCTGATCCAAATTTGTCAGTCCATAGCTAGCCAAGTGAAAAAATGATGGTTATAGGAAGCCAAAAAATTAGAAGAAAAGGACATGTTTGGCAGGAGCATTTCTCTGCACTCTGGGAGATTTAAAAAGATTTAATAACAAAAAATACGCACCTAAAATGTTTATCTGAGATAGTAGGCCATGGCATTGTAGCACACTGTGCCCTATTAAAACGCCAATAATGTGCACCAAACCCAACAGATTAAGGTCTGTAATGTCTCACTATAGACATCAACAGAATCAGACACTCTCTAAGTTACAATCCAGAGGGCTAGCACCAAACTTGTCATCTGTCAAGTTACAACAGGTTATCTCCTCCTCCCAGCATGGCACGGACACTCAACCAGTACTGGCAACCCCACCGTGCCAAAAACCATGAGACAAGCTTTTAAAAAAATCAAGAGATTGGCGTGTAAATCATGAGATACTGTTTTTGAACTGTGTGTATTAGGGTTGGGGGGCATTATTTGTGAAAGTGTGGAGGGCTGTGGGTATGTGTGTGGGGTTTGGAGCCCGGGGAGGGAGGGTCCCTGCATACCCTGGCAGGACGCGGGGTACTGCGGGTCAAGAGTGAGAGGCAGCAGCAGGGCTGGGGGAGCTGTGGCTTGGTAGTGAGGAGCTGACACACAGAGACAGATACAGACAGCATGCAGTTGCTAACTGGAGGGGAAGGGGCAGGGAGAGAGGGAAGGAGTGCAGGGAGGGGGGAGATTGAGGCACCTGTGGTGAGGGAGGGAGTGGGACAGGAGCAGCGGCAGGGGTGAATGGGGCCCTGGGGCCAGCTGGTCGTCCAGGGGTGTGGGGGAGAGGTGCAGCTCCCTGCAGCAGTGCGCACCTCTGGAGGAAGCTTTGAGGGCACGTGTCCACTGTGGGGCAGAGGTGTGCTGCTCATTGCGGGCTCAGGGCTCTGCACCCTGCTGCCTTTCCCCAGGAGCTCAGCTGTCTGATGCCATTGCCACCCACAGGGTGGGCTGGGGATGTGGGGTGTGCTGGTCATGTGGTGTGTCCCCTGCCCACCCGGCAGCAGAAAGCACACTGGCATTGCACAGCTGAGTTCCTGGGCCAAATCAGCAGGGCGCAGAGCCATGAGCCCACAGCAGGCAGCCTATCTTTGCCCCACGTGCCTCCCCTGGGTGTGTGCACAGCTGCAGGGAGCTGCACCCCTTCCCTGCACCCCTGGATGACCTGCCCTGGCCCCAGGGCACCATTCACCTCTGCCACTGCTCCTGCCCCACTCCCTCTATCACGAGGGCCTTGATCTCCCTGCCCCTTCGCTTGCACAGACTTACTGGCTGGGAAAATCCAGAGGTCTGTGGATTTGATCGGGAGATCGTGAGTGGAGTTATTTTGACTTAGATATCCTGAGTCTCACGATGGCTGCATGACAGTTGGCATAACTGCTCAACAGCTATGACCATCTCTCATCCACAGCCTGAAGTTCCAGTGCCTGCATGCGGTAGAGGATCAGGCCCCCTAGGTCTCCCAGTGATTACAGTTAAACATGGTCTATAGGCATGTAACATTTTTGCATCCAGTTTTCTATAGAGCAATACAGAAAGTAACATAGCATTTTATTCTTTCTCTGCTTGATATTCTTTCATTTATCTGCCTCTCCTCACTCTCCTTGATTCTTCACTGTTCAGCGGAGAGCAACAAAAATGGTTTGGGGGCTGGAGCATGTGACTTCTGAGAAGAGGCTGAGGGAACTGGGCTTATTTACTCTAGAGAAGAGGAGACTGAGAGGGGATTTAATAGCAGCCTTCAACTACCTGAAGGGGGGTTCCAAAGAGGATGGAGCTGGACTCTTCTCAGTGGCGGAAGGTGACAGAACAAGGAGCAATGGGCTCAAGTTGCAGCAAGGAAAGTTTAGGTTGGATATGAGGAAAAATTTTCTCATGAGGAGGGTAGTAAAGCACTGGAACAGGTTACCCAGAGAGGTGGTGGACTCTCCATCCTTGGAGGTTTTTAAGACTTGGCTAGACAGAGCCTTGGCTGGGATGATCTAGTTGGGGATGGTCCTGGTTTGAGCAGGTTGGACTAGATGACCTCCTGAGATCCCTTCCAGCTCTAATTTCCTATCATTTTAAAACCAAGGTGGGCAATTATTTTGGGCAGAGAGCTGCTTAGTGAGTTTTGGCAAGCCATTGTGGGCCTCATGACAGGCAGCCCAGAGCAGATAAATATTAATTTTCTAAATTTTTTAAGGGGGCTGGATAGGATGGCTTGGCAGGCTGCATCCAGTCTGTGGGCCGCATTTTGCCCACCCATTCTAAGAACTAACATTAGTGTCTCTTTTTTCACTCTTTCCCAGCAGGTCTTTTTCTTTCTTCCACCTTCACTTTCCACCTGGTGTCTCTTTCTCTTGGTCTCTTCTTCTTGACTCTGATCACTATCTCCTTCTTTGTCCAGCCCTGTTTTCCCTGCCTCCTTTTGTTTTTCACCCTTTGATGTATGTTTTCATCTAATTATTTCCCCATTCTGAACCCCAGGGATTGCCTTAATTCCCATGGCATATATTTATTCCTGTTTTTTTCTCCTCTCCTGTCAATCTCCCTTTCCAGCCCCCCTAAGTAGGTCCCTTCCTAAATCTCTCTCCCTGCTCTGCCACACCTTAGCATCTTCCCACTCCTTCCTGTTATGATTACAGTCTTTTCCTTCCTGCTCTCTGTGTGTACTTATAAAGACTGCATATTAAATATGTGGGTGTAAAACACTACCCTTCCCTTACTTGCATCCAAAGAAATGCAAAGCTCACAATCAGTTACGTCAAACATTTAATAAAAAACCTGCAACAAACTTCAATATACGAGTAGCTTTTTACTGCTCTTCTGGTATGAAGGTGACCTCGAGTCAGCAGGTCTGAGTGAAGCATTTCTGTGGTGTAGGGGAATTCTTGTATGACAGGAACTGGCTCTTGCTCCACCCAGCACAGGGGCATGTGTCTTGGCAAAAAAATAAAAGAGCATGGTGAGGGTCATGCCCTAGCAATCTCCAGCTGTCAGAAATAGTCCCAAACATCTGGTATACTTTGGAGAAGCCAGTGAAAACCCTAATCTATGCTTGGAACTTGTTCCAGGATATAGGAGAGCTCACAACAGGCTCACTCTCCTGGGACTTTTTGTGCATGTTTGGTACTTTTTAGGCATTACTGAGAGTCTGGTGCCATTTCACGATTTCTGACTCCGAAATTTGTATCAGTTATTTCATAGAAAACATGTTTTGTTTTAATTAAAAAAAAAAATGCATGTCTGCAGCCACAGAGAGAAAATGGTAAATATAAAGCAGAGATTCAAAGGAAGAATAATATTTGCCTTGAGCATTCCAGGGACATTATCTGAAGTTGTAGGGAGCAGTCACTGGCATACATGTACAACAGCAAGAACTATAGTGGACATGATTCCCCAAGACCTCCATTCCCATATGAAAGCCCTTGGCATTCATTTCCCATTCACTTGGGCCAGCAGTAAGGGACAGGCTGGATGTAAGGTCCTGTATAGCTCATGCAAACAGCACACTAACCACCACAGTAAAAATTAAATCAGACTACAGATCACAGGAAAAGAAAAAACCCACAAAACCCCGACTTTTTTTCAGTAAGATGGAAAAAATGCTTGCGGCAGTGACACTTAGGGGAGAGAGCTTGGATTACTTGCAGCTTGATCTTGCAAATTTGGGGTATGTAGTTAACCTGAAGCACACCAGCAGCCGTCTTGCAATCAAGTTAGCCTGGTGCTCCAGTGTTTGTGTCATGGACGCCTAAAGCGAGTCTCAGGTCCTGCCCGCTCCTACACGAGGTTCACCCGCCCCGGACTCCAGCTGCGCGCTGTTAAAGGGCAAGTAACATCTCCCAAAGGGCACAGCTTGAGCCGCTTTTCCTTCCTCCTCTAATAAATAACTTGTTCTCCAGAAGCCGGAAAGGAGGGGCAGAGCACACGGGAAACCACTTCTTACAAGCTGGTGGGTTTTTTCCCCGTCAAGGGGCAGGCACAGACGGCCGGGGAGGTGGGAAGCAGCTGCACGGCTCTCCCGGCGGCACCTCGTCACCACCCCAGCCCCGCTCAGGGCTTCCCAGCTTTGTACCGAGACCCCTCCGGCCCTCGCAGGCGGCACGAGCCACGGCCGAGCAGAGGCTGAGGCAGCAGGCGAGACGCCGACCCCTGCGTCTCGGCCCCCACAGACTGAGGCTGCAGCGGGCAGGGGGCGGGGCGGTCCCTCGGGCGTGTCGCGGGGCGGG